AGTGGTATCAGAGCTTAGGTTTGATTAAGATTTCGTGATGTGAGAGCCTAGGTTTAAGTGAATACCTAGGATATGTTTTGAACTTGGTTAGTTAAGGGATCTAGAACCGCGGTGAGACGAGTGATGGGGTTATACAAGGGACGATTCTGATTTGTGTTGCCTAAATTTTCTGATCCGCTTTGATGAGGTAGTAATTCAGTTAGTTCCTGTTATCTGTCGATAGTGAGAAGTTCTGAAATTTATCTTGCTCACTATGCTGTTAGGACCTTGTTTGAAACTTGGTCCCTTGTGATAGTATGCTTGATTTTGGTTGTGGCAGGATGTATAAGGCCTTCCACATTAGGTCTGTTTGTTTGAGTATTCATCTGGGCATTCATACGTGAATGCAAACATGGACATACATGAGCATATACATGGGCATTCATGCATGCACGCATGAGCATTCATGCATGCACACATGAGCATTCATGCATGCACACATGAGCATTCATGCATGCACACATGAGCATTCATACATACACGCATAAAGGCATTCGTTCATACATGCATATACATGCATTCATCCGTTCATGATTCTGTATATCCGAGTGATGCTTATCCGTCTCGGATGAAGTTCCATCTTTTAGTTGGACTCATCATTAGATTCCTTGCCATGTGGTTGTGTTTGATGGGTGCCGGGTCTTGATTTGAGTCAAGGGCGCCACATAATCACACCAATAACTCTCGAGTTTAGTTACTTGTGTTAAGGCGTGAAGTTATCTCCTGCATCCCAAATGGCCATTGGGGAGGGTGGAGATTGAGAATTGTCATTGTTGTGGTTTGATATTAGAGTGGCGCAGCGGAAGTGTAGTAGACCATGTTCTGATCATAGAAAGTCGGTGAGGCAATTGTTTTGTCTTAGATTGTATGAAGCCATTCACCAATCTAGATGATCCTAGATTTGAGTTTTGGGGACAAAACTCCTTTTTAGGAGGGGTGGATGTAATATCCCAAAATTTTGGGGTATTTTAGCATTAAATTGAGGACTTCTTTGAGGAAAAATATTATTTTGGGGCTTAATCGTAAACTTTTTAAAAGTTAAGGGACTAAAAAGAAAGGAAATTAGGATAAGGATCAAGGCTGATATTTCTCTCCTCAGCCACGTGTTTTGCTCTTCCTCATCTTCTTCTTCTTCCCGACTCTCCTTTGAAAACCGGTAGAAGACTTGAAATTTCTTCTTTCCTTCTTGTTCAAGAACTGATTTGGGGCTTAGAATCTTCCCTCTCAACCCAGAAATC